CCCTCGTAAATGTCGGTTAAAAACAGCCTGTCTTTCCTCAAGAATCAAAGTATCTTCATACCAAATTTCACCTAAATCGGTTCAGCGGTTATTGATTCCCCATATCCCCCAACCACCCCCCTTTTCACCCCCTGGAAAGATGTTTTCTGGGATAAAAACTAGCCTATGTCCTTTCCTACGACTCGGACGATTTCTGTACCAAATTTCATCGAAATCGTTTCAGCGGTTTAAGCGTGAAGAGAGAGAAGAACAGAAGAAGATGTTTGCTTGTTGGATGTTTGCTTGTTGGATGTTTGCTTTCTGCATAGGGTAGTAAACGGTCAGTTGAGATGTAACGAATTGCTCGGAAAGATTTTAATATCCGTTCCTCACCACTATCCCAGACAACCAATACTTAAACTTTTCTATACTCCAGCATGCAGAACAAACCTTGGCTTGCAATCACCTTTGACACGAATTTGCTGCAATTACAATAACAGTGTTATTAAGAATAATGATCTCGACATTTTCCACATGCGCTTAACCAGTTTCAAATCAAAGTTATTGCCTAGTTGTACTCGTAGTAGTTTTTAGAAACCACTTATGTTATTTTTTTTTTAGTTCAGTATTTATATTTAGAAATCATCTTTTTTTTTATTTACTATTGCTGCTATTTTTAGTGTTTCCTTTTAAACAAAATTTCTAGTAACTGTTCCATTGGATCCATATTTTATCTCACTGTACTGATATTGTTATGAATGTTATGTACACCGTAATTGCTTTATATATCAGAATAATTACCATCAATTGAATGTAGCGTGAATTGAACAATGTGGTTGTACTTATTATCTATATATATATATATATATATAAGAGATTTCCACGTATGTAGTCACTCATCACGATATCTCTGGAACCATTAGAGCTAAAGACTTGAAATTTGGTAGGAATATTCTTTTCACCGAGTAAAGGTCAGCTAAGAACGGATTTTAAGAAATAAAAAAAAAAAAAAAAAAATGTAAATGTAAAACAACGTTTGCAGGGTCAGCTGGTAATAAATAAATAAATAAGAAGAGGGTGAACAGAGGGACAGACACACTTTCGCATGTATAATATTATAGTATATAGTATGGATTTATTGAAACATGGGACAAGAAAATTACTAACCGTCAGTTTAAAAAAAGCTGTTGTCATTACATGTTGATGGAGAAATTCCAGGTTGCGTTGTCTGATATATTAACAATCGATCCGAGACACAGTAATCGATACGATCGAGCTACAAAAAAAAATGTTTAATACGTGTTGGTTTTGCTGTGTATAAACAAAAGAATAAAGTTTGTGGTGTAACTACCAACGATTTAAAGTTATCCGTCTGTCTGTACGTCCGCCCATCCACGGCTTAACTTAGACACTATACTAGAAAGCTGTAATTTTATCATAGTGACAAAGTGGTATAGTAAAATCTCAAAAATCAATCAATCTCAAATCAAAAATAGGATATCTTCCTTACACGTTAATTGGGTCTGAATTTAAGTTCTTTTCTCCACTATCTCATAGTGTTTAATATCATTAGATAGGTTATCTAATGTTATATTTGTGTCTTATTTTATTTATTATCGACAGAGATAACATGAACATTAAAACAGACAATCCAAGTAATTATTGTGCGAAGTAAAGAATGTATTTCTGACCACCGAGTGCACAAGAACATCACGACGTGATTTTTCGATCGGCCACGGATATATTACAGAGAGATTTATCTTACAACCACTGAGCCAACGGGCTGTTAATTGCGGAACTTATTCTTATTACAGAATAACTGCTTTATTTGCAGCGCGTTTAGAAGATAGGTAATCTGTCTATCTTATCAGCTTATGTCCGTATGAATACATGCTCATATTTGACTGACATTTGACTGTCATTAACAAACACACTTACTACTATTGTAAATGTGAAAGTTTGAATGTGTTTATTAGGTACTCAATTACGCAATGGCTAAACGGACACGAATGGAATTTGGCACAGGGATAGATTACAATCTTGAGTACAAAAAAAACTTTTTAATCCTGTAAGAATCAATTGACCAAATCGATTCTGACACGAACGATGCCACGGGTATAAGTTAGTTTACCTACTATATACGTAAGAATTATGAATAAGCTTCTTGTATTGTAGGCTTTCGGGTTAATTTTTAAAAACGGTTTTATTAGGTAGACTTGTAACGAACTAATTTACTGACTAACTATGTATGTAAATAAATCTTAGAAGTTAATTTTAACCTATTTCTAATCTCATGACTATCATATTTAGAGTCCGTGTGGTGACGGATTAAGAATACAGAGTGTCACCATGCCTATTCATCCCGTGGGTGTCGAGAGCCGACTAAGGGAGAAAACTACGCAGAACAACAGCACTGCAGAGAGAAGGAAAACTTGACACAAACTTGACTATCATATTTCAATTCGATTCTCGTATTTTCTTTGAACGTATATGTGATTTAATGACAGCACTATATCATTAGCACATACTCGTATAACACATTTAATAGTGAAGCCATAGGGTGAATTATGAAACTCCATTACCATGAGAGAGACGTGTTATGACACAAATGGGCTGGCTCCACCGGAGTGATATCACGGCCTCACAGAAAACAGAAGGTCAATTCTCGTAATAAAAGTTCGGGGACAATTCAGTTGCGATCTACCAACTGTCAAAGAAGATATTTTCGTAAAGTAAAGTGTTAAATATCCAACTTTGAATGTAGTGTGATTAAATCATATTATAACCGAAAATTGAATCGGTAATCTGCTTGTCTTGGTAATACTTACTATTTTACTAAGAAAATACCTTTTATCACAGTTCTGAGATAGAAAGTTGATCGGAACTGAATTGAGACCGAACTTTTATTACGAGAATTGGCCTTCAGGTAATTTTTTCGTTAATTTCACCGTGTGAGTGAACCGGAGTTCACGCGTGAGGCGCGTGGGCAACCAGCGACGGACCAGAGGGCGGGGCGGAGAGCGACGATCACGGCAATTGAGGGTGTCACGAGCCCCACCACTAGACGACCGATGGGCGCGCACGAACGACCTTTCTTCAGATACCGTTGCGATAATCAATGGACATCATTGTAATAAATTATTTTAAAATACAGTCCACTTTTATCTCCTACTCCGTTGTAATACCTAAGCCTTAAATAGGGACTCAAAAAGCGGCAACGCTTGATTCTTGAGTTCCGTCCACGGCTGTCTGCTCTGCCGCTTACTAGTAGCAACTTGTAAAACAGTTCAACAGATTGGGCATGATTAATATAGTCTGATGATGAAACCAAGGAGTCAATTGTTTATTCTTCTTTAATGCATGTTTTATTTGTTTTTATTATACCACGTTTTATTCTGCTTAATTAGTATTACAAAATATTTATTTAGACTTATTTTATACTAAAATCTTCCTTAGGACTGTTAAGTAATTATGACGGAACAACTTTTCGTCTGCGGTATTTTCGGACCGATAGGACCTTCAAGTAAAGAGCGTATTCCTTCCTCAAGGGCCGGTAACGCGTTTGTGGCTCATGAGTTGCAGGCGTTCATTTGCGGCGGTAGTCACTTTCCATCAGGTGACCCCTCTAGTCGTTTGCCCGTTTGGTACGTCTATAAAAATCTATCCGTGTGGTGACGGATTAAGAATACAGAGTGTCACCACCCCTATTCATCCCGTGGGTGTCGTAAGAGACGACTAAGGGAGAAAACTACGCAGGACAACAACACTGCAGAGAGAAGGAAAACTTGAAACAAACCCTATACCAACCCGTCTGGCCAGCGTGGTATAGTAGGCCAAAACCTCCTTTCTAAGGGGAGGCCTATGTCCAGCAGTGGACTATTAAAGGCTGTTGATGATGATGATTGATGACGTGTATAAAAAAAATTGGAATATTGAAAAATTGGAACGACGATTGATATTTTACAAACTATCTCATTAAATCTTAAACCTTACCTTGGTAGTCAAAATTAAATAACTATCTGCATCGAAGGCAACATCTTCGCGTAAATATGCCATCAGTTAAATCAGATAACAGGTAAGAAACTGTCTCACTGACTGTTACTGCACGCAAACACATTTACATGGTGTCAACTCATGCAATAAACAGTACAAAACACGCAATGCTATCTGTCTCACACGCATACCTACGTATAGAGGTCTATAGACCTGGATTTTTAAATAAAGAAGGCTAAAACGGCTGACTTGCGGTTAAGTTTCTGCGGGTTCCAACCCCAGAACCCATTGCACTTTAGATATAAAACTTACACACCTTTAATGTATTAATATTATGTTGATTTTTTATAGTATAACAAACGAATATAATGGTTACCTGATTTTCAGTAACTACCGCCGACCATAGACACCTGCTACTTAAGTCAAAACGCCGTTGCCACCGCAAAATCAGGAAGGAGAGGTGTACCAGAGCTTTCCTTTCTAGGCTATATCTGATTCCCCGACTACTGGTACCCAGAGACGGCGTGCGGTTTTTGGTCGGTTCGAGCCCTAAATAATCACCCCACTGGTGGGTTGTATCCGAGGAGAGTACCGCACAGAATAAAAAAGGGGAGAGAAGAGGTACGGCTGAAAACAACGAGAGTTGCTTAATTAACACTGGGTTTCTGTGAAGCCGTGGTATAACTGGTGGTATGATTTTTAATGCATTTGTAATTTTTGTTTTTTTACTAAGAAAAGTCTTACGGTAACTGACTGCACGGATGGCGTAGTGGTTTAAGCGGTCGCCCCGCCGATTTCTACTACGCTGAGTGCTGTGGGTCCGATCCCCACATGTGAGGACACTTTGTGTGATCCACAAATTGTTGTTCTGAGTCTGGGTTTATATGGGTATGTTTATAATTTCCCCCGCGACACATTGCTAATCCCTAATGCGGGAGTTGTCCTTTTTAAACAATGAAATGATAAACTGAGAATTTTTTAATCTTATATTTATACACATATACACTTTACAACAAAATCTATAAAGATCACGCAACATACGTCTGCACAACTTCTGTTAACGTTGCTACCAATTTAGTTTTTACTTCATCATCAAAAGCGATGTTCATATTTCGACTTCTGAGCAAAACGCTATCGTTAGCAAGCAAAGCTTTAGTCAGAAGTCTTATCACTTCAGAACCTTTTAATAAAACATCCAATTTATTGAGCACACCTAACATTTGCTTTTTGGATAGACTTTTGATTGCTCTTTTCGACACTAAACTATACACAGTAATATAATCAACGATGTCTTCTAAATCCATTTCATCAATATGTCTTAACAAATCATAGTGTATTAACAATAATTCTTGTTCCACATCCTTATTTGTTCTAAGTTCAATAAATTCATTGACTTGAGCATTCTTCGCGGTGATATTTCTCGAGAAAGCACCAACCATAGTGCTGTACACCATATTTTTTATCAAGCCAAAGATACATTTGACAAGATACTTATCATGCGTTTGCCTCACTATACAGTGGAGCCAAGATATCACACCATGTCCTTCCACTAGTATCTCAAAAGCTCTATGGACGGACACGATAGAGCTCAAAGCACTAAGAATGTTTTCTTTCGATCGCCTGTCGCTTAAAACCGAAGAATAAAAGTCCATGATCATCTTCAAGCACATGGTTTTAAAGATCACGTTTATATCCGTCATGGTTTTTACTCCGTCTTTAATGACTTCCAAGATCCATAACCTTCTATCAGCAGATTCCACGTCACTGTCGTGGAAGAGACTGAGGAAGTCAGGAACTAAAGTCAAGTCAACGAATTGCTTCGCTATGAGAAAATTGTTCACTGGTTTGTATAAAGGATCGAATGGCGCTGTGGAAATCGTGAGCGCTCTTGCAAGGTACAAGGCATCTATTGATGGAAGCCTAGGGTTTTTGACATCCTTGTCGTCGATTTCTTCAGAATTGTTGATGGCTGTGGTCAGACTCTGGCGTAAGGTGCTGATGAAGTCTGTCAAAAACAGCTTGTCGTTTTTGTGTCTCCTGAAGTGTAAAATGAGGAAACACATTAGTATTTACACATCATGAATACAAAATACATGAATTGTTATGTACTGACAGTTACGTATTATTTTTTCCCAAACCACGTTGGGTCGGCTTTAAATCTACTACGATGCCGCTGAACTTCGATTGTTTACGCGGAGCGACTGCTACTAGACGTCCACAACCCAAGTACTAGACGATATCGAAAATCTGTAGATAGACAATATTTTTTTGGGACTAATCCCACCACTGTAACTCCTATACACCAGGATCCACAGCAGTGACCCACGAACACACCGAGTCCCACACTTGGGAAGTCCCAGGAAGAAATTAAACTGTCTTGGAACCCGCAACGAAATTAATCAGAAGAAAATTGGAGGAGTTGGAAATACAATAAATCCACTTCCCTTCTTAGCAAAGCGGGAGACAAAATGAAGTAAAATGTAAAATACACCCTTTTAAACAGGGAAGCACTTCGGCCACAAAATATTACGGGTCCTACGTGAGCTATATTTGATTTCTATAATATGTATGGTAGAATCGCTTAAACGCACGGAAATTCACCCTAGTTGACACAAGATCCCCATAGTATACCGCCCCAGATGTCACCTGCAAGCTATTCAGCATTATGTTACGTTCATTATACCTGTTAGATTACCTAGCTTCAAGGTACGTTTCACAGAGTAATTAAACAACCGTTAGATGCGAGCTCATAAAATTTATTTATTGTGTAGCTTATATAACGCCATCTATCGCGTGTTGCAAAAAATAGAAAATATTAACGTTCGATTGAACAATACCAAAGACAACATTCCCAGAGGATATGATGAGCAGACTGTTCATAGTGAGAGCATTGACACAATGGTGACTCGACTAATTTAAATGAATAAAGATAGACTATTATCGAAATTTTTGGGGTTCCAACTACCCGGTACGATTGCTACAGATATTATTATGGCAACCGGTACCGCTTAACGTGCTCTCCGAGGCACGGAGTGGTCTTAATATATTAAGAATGGTCGTCAACCATCTATAGACTGACCTGGCCGACCGAAATACCGCACCAAGTAGGTTAACACATAGCTAAGTTAAGTAATCCTAATGGTTTTAATGTTCTTTTATTGTTTTACCAATTTAATTGAATTTAACCTGTGACTAACTCTTGTTTTTTAAAAATAATATTTTTATCAACGTAATATAGATATATTTTTGTACATCAACATATTAAAGCATTTAAAAAGTATGCAAATGATGTCAACTATATGGTTAATAATATTAAGATTTTACTACTTACGTTTCAGTCTCCAAAAGCATGTAGAACCTATGCAGTACGTGGTAAGCGGCAGCCCTCATCATAGGACAATGGGAGCTTAGCGCCATTACGGGCACAGACAGCAGTCCACTCCTCAACATCCTGAAGCAGGATGCCACTGATCCTGGCGCCAGCAAGTGGCTGAGGAGAGGAAACAGGAACATAGGATCGTATATCCCTTCATCATTATCCAAATTCGACGTACCCAACAAATCTACTCCAACAAATTTTGTTAATACTGGTTCATATTTCCCTTTCACGATCAAATTTTTCACTGCAGCTTCTGTGTCTTTAGTAACACTTGGTTTGAACGCACCATCCTCCAGCATCTCGTCTAGTATCGATCTCAAGGAATCTTTGATATTTCTCGCTACACCAATGTTCTTCTTCAACTCATAGCTGTATTCAAATTTCTGCGTTACGGGAAAATGCTTAACTGTCCTTTGAATAACTTCTTTATCAAACAAATTCAAGACTTGATTAGGCGTTGGATGAGACCATAAAGACGAGGATCTGTTTTTACGGACAGCGTAAAAGTTAGCTGCAGAGTCGCCAAAGACGTATGGTTTGTATTCATTGACGGGTAATCCATTAGTTTCATAATGATGTAGAATAGCGAGTATTAGTCTATCAGACGGGTTTCTTGTAGCGTGATAAGCACTTAAATAGACCGGTATCTGCTGTGTCTTCATTACTGATTTATTTTTTAGCATTAAAGTATACAGAAATTCTATCAATCGTGATTTAATATCCGTGCTATGGTAGCTAAGCATTACGTTCAAAAATTCTGAATGTGATGTTACCATATCAAATATGTTAGTAATATCTTCGTGATTTTCAGAGTAGAAAAGTTTAACTAATTCCGTGAGCAACGCAAGAACTTTGGGTCCCATTACATTAGCTTCTTCGACCGTTTTTACTTTTAATGAATCCTTTAGAGTGGCTTTGCAAAAATTTTGCCATGAGGCACTTTCTGTGATCTTGACAAATTCCTGCTTTTGTTGCGTATCTAGTCCTACCACGGTTTTAGAAACCTGGATTACGTCGTGAATGGCAGTTATAATCACGTCTAGGGCATCTATTTTGACTTCCTTTACAGCTATTACAGCCACATGCAACATAGATAGAAAATAGTTATTGAGGTACTCTTTCTTTACTCCATTCCCAGGAATACATAGTTTCAAAAATAATATCTGCAGCAATTTTATATGACTTAATTCAATGACTTCAAATTTATGGCTCTTATTAAATAATTTAGAAATATCATTCGTGTCCATGCATTCAATAACTAATTTTCTAATGAATTGCCAACATGATACATAAATTTGGCCAGCCTTGTGAGGCTTTTCTAGTAGTTTTATTATATTAGACTTGTACTCATTGAATACGGTGGACAAAAAGTCTTTATTATCACGTAAGAATTGGTTATGGTTTATAACAGCAACGCCTAAAGGAAGCGTCAATTCCCTCTGAGATAATATCTCGGGTCTACCAATTTCCTCTTTGAAAATCTTACAGAATTTTGCATTAAACTTCAATAAGACTGAAGCAAGATTGGCGGTAGACTTCCGTAATGTGTTTAAGTGGAAAAACTTTTTAAAATCTTCATCCAAAACTCGGGACACTTGGTGAGGTTTGTTTTCAAAATATTTCGTTAAAACGTTCTCTAAATTGCTTAGATTTGGATTCATATCCTTGTTCGTCAATAACTTAGTATACAAAGCGATGGTATTTTTCAAAATATTCTGTTGCAGTTCTAGAGTAACCGTTTCTGAATATTTATCTATTAAATTACTCAGTATTTCTAACACCAGAGTGGGCTCTTTATCATCTTTTATACAAGAACCTATTTCAGCGTCAAATACTAAATTAAATATTTTGATATCATCCTCATTGGACAGACCAACCATTTGTAAAACGTTTAAGGTGTAATCACTTTCAACATTCTTCCTTTTATTTATTTTTATGAATGCTTTTACGATTTCGTTGTAATTTTTCTGCTGATACGATTTCAAAACCCTATGTTTATTATTTAAATAATTTACTATGTCGTTATTTTGCTTAATCACTTGTAGGATAAAGGTAGAGGCATGCAAATTAGATTCATCTTTGCCTGTTTTCACGGGTTTATAAACTTTAACAAGCTGTGGATTTTTTAACAGTGTCAAGATTATCGTTCTACAAATGTCTACTTGTAAATTTTTCTTGCCAATTTCAATCAGACATTGAAAGTAATCTGTTATCTTTATCTGGTGTTTCTCATTCAATTGGCCCATATTCGTCATTCGTACTATACAATATATTAGATATTTCGCCCAAATCAAAAGCTCAGAACTGTCTATTTTATTTGTTACATCAATTTTATATAGAACGTCAGATATTTTGACGTCACCTCCTTCGGACACTTCTTCTAAGCATGGGAATATATCTTTGAGACATATATTTTCATCACCAACTATTGTTTTGGACATTGCTTTTAAGACCTCATCTCGTCCTATGATAGAATCTAATAACGGCACAGGATCAGACATCCAACTGGCGACATAATTTCTAGCATCTAATTTACAATCACCTATTAACACCTCTGTTAACTCAGGAGAATAGTTACTGTGAAGTAAATTCGCAATGTACAGCGACAAGAAATGTTTAATATTTTTTTTAGCATCTTTGTGTAGTTGCAAATATTGTATACAGCCTACAATAAATGGTGAAGGCATCTTGCTCTCTAAAAATACACTGTCCTCAGTATTTTTATCCTCCATTAAATCATTGAATAGTTTCTTCAAATTGTCTTCGTTATTTTCTGAAGAGATTTCAAAATGAACTAGTTGATTTCGCACATAATCTGTTAATTCTTTGATGTTTTCCAAAACATACTGGACAATATCTCCGATCAATGATGGTGGATTCACTTTACTGTTACGCAAAGTATATAGTATTAAATGTATTTCATCTTCATCTCCTTCAAATATGGAGGTGTTTTTGAAGAACATCTGCAGGGTGTCCTTCGCTTCTATCCACGTGTCATCATCATCACTCATGAACACCTCCAACATGATCAGAAAAAGCTCTTTGAACATTGAATTCTTTAACGAAACGGCAGAACTATCTAAAGTAAGCCATAAAGAAACTACTTTGAACTTTAAAAGAGCTACATGACCATTTTTAAGGGTAGTTGAGAACTCCAATATTTTCTTCATGTCTACATTGCCTTCCAAGGTTTCGAAATAAGGGGAATTTATGTCATTATATAGTAAAAGCAGATCTACGAGTGATGTTAAAGCCTCTGTATCATTTATTTTAGGAAGTCTGTAGTCTTTATTATTCTCATCAACGGCGTTTTCTGAGATTACATTATCAATAAGTTTTACTATTATAGCAGGTGCAGGCAAGTGTTTAGGTATAAAATATTCTAATTTGTTACGTAAATCACTGCTCTGAGACTCACTAATTTCTAATATTTGTAAATATCTCCTCAACGACTGTAACATTTTGACTAAAACTTTCACACAGTATAAGGAAACTGTTTGATCTTTACCCAGATTTATATGAATTAACTTTATCAATGGAACAGGTAATGTAATAAACCTTATAAAGTTAGCGATTTGTATTTCATTCAAATTTGACGTTCTAGATACCATTTCTTCCGGTTTCAACTTGTTCAACAACTTTATAGTGAAGTCTACAGCTCTTTCCCATATTGGGGAATGTTGAGGCTCAAAGCTATGTTCGATCACACTAAACAGTGCTCGATGTAAATCAGGACATTTGAACAAGATGTTCAGAATAACGTCACACTCATACTCATTCTCCCAAGGTCTTTTTAAAGTCAGCAATGCTTTATACAAGTTCTGGTTCTTATTGGCATCAATAGTTCCTAGAGATTTATCCACAAAATATAGACCTAATCTGTGTGATGTGAATAAAGTTACAATAATATCGGATAGAAGACCCATGATTTCTGGTCTAGCCGCACTCCTGGCTTCCTGACTAATCTCTGGAGGTCCTTTCCAAGAGAACACTTTAAACAAATTGTGTAGCACTTGATGGCTAAAAGTCTTGAGCTTCAAACTCTTTGAAATTAATGCATTGTCTATGACATTCTTTTTTAAAATATTTAAAAATATCAATGTTGCTTCCGCCTCATCGTTAATTAAACCAGGAATAACTAGAGCGAGTAAACCTTGTTTTTCTAGTAAAGCCTTTATCAAAGGCAAGTGACCGTCAACTAAGAATGATGTCATGAAGTGAACAAATGATGTTCGAACATTATCTTTCTCCTTGAAATTTGGTTTTTCAACAACATGTTGCAAGTGTTTCGGAGTCAAAGGAGCCTGATTTAACACTTCAATGCCCAAATCAGAACTCAATGTGACCATTGAAGTTAACAATTTAAGGACTATTTTTCTATGGCGGGGGCCAGAGTTCTCACTTATCATGATTTCTACGGTAGACATGAATGTATTTAGAAAGTAGCGGCATGCTTCTTCAGTGATGGTGATCATGTGTGGAAGAGAAGACTGTACTTTCAGGATTATTAAATGGAATAAATGGAATGCTGGTGTAGCTAACGTCAGGTTTTTCTTACTCTCCTGGTTGATTTGACGAAGGATTTCGTGAGAGTTGCCTCCACTTTTGAGATATTCCAGTAAATAATCTGCTGGACTATCAGGGTTCAGGCATACTTGAAGAAACTGTGTGAGTGCTGAAAATGAAAAGAAAAATAATAGGAGAATACCAAAACAATGTTCAACACATACGTAACTTCATTCTTAAACATTCAGTTTATTACACTTCTCACATGTTTTGTACTGCAATTTTAGCTATAAATCTCATATTATAATAACCAAATATATTCTACCTATATTCGAGATAACTACGGTAGATTCACATAATATTCAATGAATAATAATACATCTCACACACGGCCTTCTGATTCCAAACTAGGCAGAGCCTATGCTATGGCATCCAGACTCCTACAAACATACTTATATATTTCTAAATACTTACATGTTATAAATAAATTACACCCAGGCACAGAACAGATCATCATGTTCATCACACAATTATTTGTCCTGGGTTGGAATCGAACCCACGACCTCCGGCTTAGCAGTCAGGGTCACTAACCACTAGACCAAGTTATCTTCATTTGCTCTAATAACATCTTCTATACAAATAAGTTTAGGTTTGAGTTTGGGACACAAATAAATAAAATTGAAGTTGACTGCACGGATGGCGTAGTGGTTTAAGCGGTCGCCACGCCGCTAACTACTACGCAGAGTGGGTTCGATCCCCACATGGGACAACACTTTGTGTGATCCACAAATTGTTGTTCTGAGTCTGGGTGTTCTTTGTGTCCGTTTCACGTATGTTTGTAAAGTCCCCAGCGACACAGAATATATTGCGGGAGTTATCTTTTTGAAAAAGAAAAGCAAGAAAGAGAGGTGTCTGTGTTATGTATTTTATTTCATTTTGTATGTCAAAATAATTGGTTTTTTAATACTCACGCTTGGTTATTTGCACGATACTTATGCGTAAAAACCAGTATAAATATCGTTTTTATTTTGTGTCTGTCTGTTTGTTCAGATTATGTTCAAAATGGCTGGGTTTATTTTAATAATATTTTACTATGAGGTAGCTGTTTATATAAGAAGTTACTTAGGCTATACTTCCTCTCAGAAAAACCCTATAAACTTTGCGCAGTCCAGGAATCGAACCTGAGGCCTTGTGGACTGCACAACTAAGGTAGCGCTTTTCAAATTTCACGCGTTGAAGTCACGGGTACCAGCTAGTTTGGTATAATGTTATAACATCATACTGCTAACCTCATCTAACCAAAATGATTCACCAATGGGGATCTAGCATGTAAATGGTCACAACTCCTTTTTTTTGGGTGGTGTGTTGGAATCGGACTGTATAAATCTACACGGTGTGCCACTCTGCGCCTGTAATAGGAGGGATCTGGGAACTGCTGTTATTAGGACATCCTGACCCTCCTAGCGTCAACCCACAAAGCGCGAGCACCATCCTCAGGTGAATTCTCTGTTTAGCTTTAACTTAACCCAAAAAACAGTAGGTGAATCGTTTGTTAACTTAATCAACCTAAGATTAATTAATTGATATTGAATAAACCACAGGTGAATTCTCGTTATGGATTTCATTCATTAGTTAATACAAACATCTGTTCATGTATTTTAAACAGTGGGTTTTTTTCACTGTAGTTATTTCGAAAATAGAGTGGGTTATTATAATATGTAACTGTAAGGTTGTACATCGCAACAATGTTAGTATGAATGAATTGCATGTCAGCAGATTTGTGTAAGAGTGTGAAGAATTTTTGGCCTACTGTACCACGCTGGCCAGACGGGTTGGTATATGGTTTGTATCGAGTTTACCTTCTCTCTGGAGTGCTGTAGTTCTGCGTAGCTTTCTTCCTTAGTCGGCTCTTACGACACCCAAGGGATGAATAGGGGTGGTCCGAGTAGTGACGGATTAAGAATACAGACTGTTTCATGTACCATTTATATAAAAGCTACTATATTCTTTGAAGCTGTTTTCTTTTATTATTGGCTTTACAACACAATAAGTTATTTGAGTAGGTTAAGAATACCTTAATTTCTGTACTTACAAAAACTAAGCTTAAAAAAAAATGACTATAAAAATATCCATATTTACCCATATTCTGTCCTTGTTTTGCTGCTAGTTCTTTTCGAAAATGTTTAATATCAAAACCGCCGCTTTTTGTAGTATGCCCGTCGTGTTTATTATTGGTTTCATTTTGAGGTTGTTCCGCTTTTAGGTCTTCGTCAACGTCAGAATCGGTGGTTTTAGTCTTCTTCTGGGTGTTTGTATCATCAGCTTCATATTTACGCTTCCCCATTTCAATCTACCTTGTGTTTTATTTAAAATTCCTATGTCTAAAATAGTTGTGCACACACGTGAAACTGTTTTGTTATGACATGAGATTTTTTAATGAATGTTGAATGTGACGTTCCTTAGTACCCAAATGTCTGAAACATTGGCCTTTAGGATTTCGTTCTGAAATTAAAATCTTAAACTTGTGAGAAGCATTGTACTAAGGCGCATAATTATTGTCTGACATGCTCCTCTTGACACATAGATATATATTTAGTGCACACCAAAAATGCAATATATATTATATCTAGAAATACTTTAATAAGCAGTGTATATTAATTAATACACGATATAATAATAATCACGACCAACATTCATTACATAATTGGACCTACTTATGCAAAACGGAATCAACCCACACACAAAACGTTTTGAGAATAAGCCGTTTTTGTCTAAATTTAAAACAATTGTGTGCTATTTTTGCAAAACTTTATTTGCAATATTATATGAATTACTTTATTCTACGTATATAAATAAAATATTAATGAAAATAATGCAGCATTGTGTAGTAATTAAAAAAAAATTCAATGGTTCCTTTCAGCAAAACTAAATATGTGTCGGTTGATCGATTGTTACTGTTAAATCATGCTGAGGTAGTAAATCACTACTACCTCAGCATGATTTAACAGTAAAAATGAAACAAAATTTAAATCTTTCTAATTACTTTATCAGTTTTGTCGATAAAAAATGTTTATTCAATAACCAAAACTCACTTCGTCTAAATTAAACCAGGCTTTAAGATCAGGCTGACCTTCTAGAATATCCTCTATGTCTGCACTTCCGACAAGTTTTACATAAAAATCATGTGAATCTTGCGGAATGAGGTATAGCATACTTGTAAGTCATTACATTTCAGGTTTCCCTGTTGGCCAAAGAGGTTTTGCTAAAACATATGGACAATATGGCAATCTGTGAACATTTTTTATGTCATCCGCTATATAATCTGAATTGAAATTTCTTTTCATGTAAATCTTAACATTTTATCCTTTTCATCACTATTTCTTTAGCATTGAGCTATGGAACTTTCTCTAGGTCTATCGTTGTCTTCCTTTTAATTATATTCTTTTCTGACTTCCGCAATAACAAGAATTTGATTTGTCTTCTTACAAGTTTCCATAACCTTTTTTTTATGTTAGAGGGGGCAGACGAGCAGACGGGTCACCTGATGAAATTGACCATTGCCGCCTACGAACGTCTGCAACTCAGGAGTCACAAACGCGTTGCCGGTCTTTTAGGAAGGAGTACGCTCTTTTCTTGAAGGTTTGAAGGTCGTATCGGTCCGGAAATACCGCAGACGATAACCCGTTCCACAGATTGGTTGTGCGGGGCAAAAATTGTCTCGAAAAGCGCACAGTAGTGGAGCGCGAACTATCCAGGTAATAAGGATGAAAATTTTGACGTGTGGAACGATGGCGGAAATTTGCGGCTGGTATTAGTCCGAACAATTCCTCGGAGCACTCTCCATGATATATGCGATAGAGAATGCAGAGTGAAGCTACATCTCTACGTAACGCCAACGAATCGAGCCGGTCGCAAATCTTTTGGCTATCGACGATCCGAGTCGCTCTTTGTTGGATGCGGTCCAGAGGGAGAAGCTGGTACTGAGGTGCCCCTGCATAAAGATGAGAACAGTATTCCATATGCGGCCGGACAATTTGACCTTACCCTCTAAGTGGCCCCGAAACTGGACTTCGCTCGATATGTCGATACCTAGGATTCTGATGCTTGCTGAGGCAGTTAGGGAGGTACTGTCAAACGACAAATGGTATCTTTTTTGCGGTGAACGCGCAAACTTGTGTCTTTTTTGGGTTAAAATGGACTAGATTTAGTCGGCCCCAATCTGAAACACACAGCCTTGTGGGACACCAGCATTTACGAATTTCAAGTCGGAGCATGCACCATCGACAACAACCTTAATGCTTCTGTCCGCAAGGAAGCTGTTGACCCAATTACACAATTTGTCGGAAAGCCCAAAGGAAGGGAGCCTCGAGAGAAGCGCCTTATGCCAGACCCGATCAAAGGCCTTCGCTATCTCCAGACTAACCGCCCAAGCCTCTCCTTTGGTCTCGATCGCCTGTGCCCACCGGTGTGTTAGAAAGACGAGAAGATCACCAGCTGAGCGACCCCGGCGAAAACCATATTGTCGGTCATTGAGTAGCTGGTGATCATCTAAGTACCGGAGGAGCTGGCCGTTGATTGTGGATTCCATAATCTTAGAGAACAAAGGAGTTATGGCCATAGGCCTGTAGTTGGACGGGTCAGAGCGGTCACCTTTTTTAGGGATCGGGTGCACAAACGCTACCTTCCAGGAGTTCGGGACGACGCCTTGTGAGTAAGAGAGACGAAAAAGGCTCGTTAAAACCGGTGCCAACTCTGGAGCACGCGTCTTCAACACGATAGGAGAGATTCCATCGGGCCCACACGACTTATGAATGTTAAGGGAAAAGAGTTTACGCACTAATTATTGTGTGAACCGGATTTCCAGCATATAGCTCTGGCACCGCGGTGTGGTCGGCGGTACGTTTCCCCCGTCATCCAAAGTCGAGTTGGATGCAAAGAGTTTGCCTAGGAGATCGGCTTTCTCTTTGGCATCATAGGCCAGCGAATTATCTACCATCTGCAGGGGTAATCATCATAACCTGAAGGTAATCATTCGGTGTACAGAGCCTCCGTTGACGGTTTCGGGTACATTCAATATTCGCAAGTTTAAAATAATTGCAAGAAACCATGTGGGATAGTTCCTTTTAGAAAAATAAAAAAACACTTTTTTTTAGATAGTCCAGTTACCAGGGCACATGGATCTTGTTATGTGGGTTGGTAAACTTGTCATGAAAATTTTTTGTACTGTCAAAGTTGTCGGATCATTTTGATTCTTACAGGGTTTAAATAAAAAAAATAAAACCCAGGGTTTAGTAAAGTACATTTTGAAAGGTTTCTGCATACTAAACTCTATTTTGGCATGTGTGTGTATTGGTTTCCTTTTGCATAAGTAGGTCCAATTATACTATTATTGTTTCAAGGTAACTTGTTAAAAATGTAGAATTCTCTGTTTAGAAACTAATCAGCAGGTTTGTCTTGGCTAGAGTAATCAGCAGCTATTTTTGTGGTATGTAGATGTGACCCTTACATTCTCGAATTGCATTTTAGAACATTAATTTAAAATTATAAAAAAAAACTCAATAAAAATATATATAAATAGGTAAAACGTTGTTTAAATAAAAAAAAACAAAAAAGAAACAAAATATTTGTATTAATTAAAACTAGATTACATGCAAAAAAAGTTATATAAAAAAAATATGGAATATAATGGTACTAACACACAGTGGTCTATTCATGTAACGTACATCAGAGAAAGAAATGGCTTTGATTGCCCAAGTTACACTCATTGTGGGCCACGGTTACAATTACTCAAAGTTATTTATTCACTTTAAGTACTAACTTAAGTTAAATCAGGTTACACGTGTAAGTAAATTATTAATATTTCGAATAGGTATACTTAAAAACTAAGTCGATAAAGACACAGAACAATAATATCCCTTAGGCTTCACAGGCCTGGTTTAAAAAACAATAACAATCGACTAACCAAAAACTTAATTTAAAACATGTTAAAATTATTCAGGTCACTTATGTATTTTAATGCATGCGAACAGGATCAAAGAAGTTTGGTCGCCAGTGCCAGTGGCGTCATCTACAAGAAGTCTTAAAGCATTTTTTTTAAGAGTTACATCCAAGAAGTGAACAATAGTCAGGCTTTTAATACGAGTTATTACTTTGAATAAACAGAATCTAGTTGATTATTTGTTTTTTAATCCTTAATGTAAATTGTTTTCTTACTAATTATGTTTATTAAAATAATTTAGTCTTGCTAATTCTTTTGGTCTAAATATTATTTATAAATATCAAATCAAATCGTTGTTAAATATTTACAGAAAGGGAAAAAGAACGAAAAATGACCAATCTACCAAATTTTAAAAGTAAATTACAATAGTCTACAAACACTTTATTTAAAATATGGAATATCTGTTTTAAGTCTTTTGTTGAAAGTAAGTTAATTTTATTGTTGGCAATATTTAAATAATATGGCATGGCAATATTCTTATCGAGTATAAATAAATAAATAAATCATCCTTTAAGGGATGAAAAGGGGATGGACGTTTGTAATAGGAATCAATAACATTTCAATATATTTTTTTTGATAGTGACCAGACTGACCAGTAAAGATAATTTATGTTAATGAGTAATGTAAAAACATTTTTGCTTATTTTAAATAGATTCGAAAAAATATTGTTGTTCATTCAGGTTGTAATTAAAAACAATTTTAATAGCTTAGGTCGGTTATTGTAAACTAAACTCTAATGTATGCAATTAAAATGCTTTTATGATTATGGTGTAATTGTAAGGAATTTTTAGTTTTTGCTGTTGATTAATTGTTCAAAATTAGGCTCCAGTTCTTTAATTCTGTCTAGTAAAACGTCAGCTAGATTCAAACTCTCGTTGGTATCTGTAAACAATATAAAAGTTGACATAAAAAATTAACAAAATGTATATTGCGGGAGTTAGCATGCCTTACGTCACTCTATATGTATGCATAGAGAAAAATAGCGACAGAGGAAAAAACGACTAATCTAGGAATAATCCATACTAATATTGTAAATCCGTAAGTGGGTCTGTCTTGTCTGTTGCTACTTCACGGTTAAAACGCTGAACCGATTTAGATAAAATTTGGTATAGAGATAATCCGATTCCCGGGAAAGGACATAGAGCAGTTTTTATCCCAAAAATCCTTTCAGCGGGGTGGAGTTTTGGGGAATCAATAATCACTGAACCCATTTAGATGAAATTTCGTACGGAGATACTTTGATTCTTGAGGAAAGATATAAGGTACTATGCGTACGCGGGTGGAGCCGCGCGCAAATGCTAGTAACTAATAAAATGACCCTTACCATCGAAGAAGACTATTTCACACTTGTCCTTAAGTTGTGGATTTTTGGCCAATATCATGCGCAATGTTGACATGAAATCAAACACGACATCCTCAGCACTCACGTCGATTATATCTAAAACAACAAAAAAAAAAGATTTTCTTATTCACAATTACAAAGCCGATTACGATTACAAAGCTTGTTACTGAATATTTCCACGTAGATGGTAACGCCATCTATGACGGAAGAACTACTATTAAATGACGCCATTCATAAAACATTATTGTGCTGCACTATGTTATACCGGATGTTAGAAAAGACCCGGCTTAGCAGAATAATTCGCTGGTTAAGCATTTTTTCGGAAATAAGTTAAACACAAAAGTTACAGGAATTTTCCCTGGCTATAAATTGGTGACCTTGATATTGACCTAGATCACAACCTTGAAGGTTATTTCAAGGATCAAGGGCAATTTTCAAATGGGATTGCATATTGTTAAGCTGGGAATTTAAAAGAGAGGAAAATTTACCATTAGATATGACCTTCAGTACGTAAATTTTGACCTCTAGGTCACCAATCCAAGGTCAAACCCACAAAACCATAGGCACAACATTCCTGTAACTTTTGTGTTTAACATATTTCCGAAATATGCATTTAGCGTATTATTCTGCTGTTCTGGTACATTTCTTACATCCTGTATAGTAGAAAAAGGATGTAAGTGTAATATTCCACTAACAAATATCACAGTATTAAAAAAATAAGAATCATCTGGATGGCGTTGTATCTTATGTATAAAATTCTCGTGTCACAATGTTAGTTACCATACTCTACCGAAACGGCTGGACCGATTTTTATGAAATTTTGTGTGCACATCGGGTTGGTCTGAGAATCGGCCAACATCTATTTTTTCATACCCCTAAATGACAAGGGTGACCCACCCCTATATTTTTTTCCATATTTCCTAGAAATAATACATATGGCAAAACAAAGTTTTCTGGGTCAGCTAGTCTGTCTCTAAAAATATACTAACAAAAGTAGCTGCGATTTTAAATACAGATAAATACGAGCTAAAAATCTAATAGCGATCGTAAAAATAATTTAGTTACTATAATAATGTTATGCTCGTAGTTGAACAAAGATTTTCTTGGCATATGAAAGATTAAATTACCGCAAAAACTTTTCAGTTAATATTTTCACATTTACAAGGTCATAAAGTCATATATTTTGACTTGATATTAGGAAACCGCTAAACCTGAACGTTCCTTTTATTGCTACTTAAATTAAAACCATGTTTAAAAAGAAATAAATTAATGTGATACCTTCATTGTCAACGGTTATGCTATTTAAAGCAGATTATCTATGTCGGCCTTGAAAAATTTGACAGTTAAAAAAACTCACCGTTATACACGTGTTTGTTTTGAATAGCTTTGTAGAGCGTGTAGAGGGGAGTGGCGCACTCCGCCGCCACGCGCACGGGCGGCGCGGACAAGCGCGAGATCTTGTACACGGCGCTCTTGTAGATACGATTCTTCACCCCGGCAACGTCCTTCACCACTTCGTCGAAAGACTACAAATTGTTTAAGAATTAATCTTGTGCTTAAGCAATTTTGTGCTTAGTCTAATAATGACTTTTTTTTTACTTTTTATTATGAAAAGGACTTTGTCGCTGAGCGACTACGTGCCATATTAGAGCGTACACCTCTTCGCCGACAACTACCAACCTGTTGAATAAGTTATCGGCTGCGGTATTTCCGGACCGATACGACCTTCAAACCTTCAAGAAAAGAGCGTACTCCTTCTTCAAAGGCTGTCAACGCGCTTGTGACTCCTGAGTTGCAGGCGTTCATGGGCGGCGGTAGTCGCTTTCTATCAGGTGACCCGTCTGCTCGTTTGCTTCCTATTCCATAAAAATTAACTAAAAAGCGAAAAATTGTTCACAATATCTTTATATACATAATTATTTAGTACGTGTATGCCATTGAGCTCCGCCCTAACCGGTGGTAGTGTTTGAGGGGTCCCTGGATGTTGTAATTGCCGTCTACAAAATCTAGAGGTGTTCAGTATATTTGTTGACTAAAACATTCGAAGTTTGAAAAATTTTAGTAAATAAACGGACGCATTTCGATTACCATTCAATAAAGTATAATTATGTAAAAAGTGTTTACCGAACAAGGTTCCAGCCTGCTGACATCTTCTCTCTGACTCTTCTTATTAAACTCATTCAAATCTGCCGGAGAATACATGGACTTGGTGATAATGATGAATAGTTTTTTAACTGGCACTACAACGTTATGAACGGACTCATATTTTCGCATTTTATCTTCAAAGCTTTCCATTCCATCCTCAGCTGGTGGGATGATATACATCAGATATCCTTCGACGTAGCTGGCTGCCAAACCGACTCCGATAGATAGTGTAGCTTTACCTAAAGTCTGAAAAATCAAGGATATAAACCGTTACTTATATATTACTAGATTTGACAGGTTTATGTTGATTTAATCCTTTTTTTTCAGGATGAAATCATGAATATTGCAGACTTAAATCCATATCGATGCCAAATTTTATCCAGACCCGTTTAACTGTTCTGGCATGATTGAAAAACAAACATCCTTCAAAGAGATTCCATGATCAACTACATGTGAACGTGATGTGATAAAAAGACGAACCCGCCAAAAATACGTAAGCTGTTTTCTACTGATTATGTGTGGATATTACCACTTTTTGTTTCTGTCTTTTTTTATCACTTAACAAATGATTGATGAAAGTTACTTAACGTTACGCAGAAGTAGTCGCGGTTACCAGCTATAGTCCATCAACGTCGTGCGCGACCGTCCGTCCGCGAACGGGTGACAGACGGTGGCGGGGACGAGGTACTCAAGATGTCAGCGGGTAGCGGGTGGTGTAGCGGGGAAGGGAAACGCTTCTCTTCGTGTGTAGCCGTGTGCTAGAATGACGCGCTACCTCGCCCCCGCCACTGTCTGTCACCCCGCGGGACGGTCGCGCACGAGATTGCCGGGTTATAGTCTATTTCCATAAAAGAAGTTTAACTGATTCACTGATCGATCAACGCACAGCTGAAACCGCTGGGTCTAGATTCTGGACCCAGCGGTTTTCAGGTGGGCGTTGATCGATCTAGACCCTAGAAGCATGAAATTTTGCACCAATGTTCCAAACGTAAAAATGACACCCTTAAGTGTCCAAATTGGGTGTGGGAAATTTATATGAATCTTCCTTAGCTTTAGTAGTATCGTTTTCAAACCCACAGTAAATACTCTTTAGTTTGTATCTTCTTTTGTATATCTAATATATAAAATTCTCGTGTCGCGGTGTTAGAAGTTGAACTCCTCCGAAACAGTTAGACCGATTTTCGTGAAATTTTGTGTGCATATCGGGTAGGTCTGAGAATCGGCCAACATCTATTTTTCATACACCTAATTTTTTTTTTGACAAAATAATATGAAATAATGTATATGGGAAAACAACGTTTGCGGGGTCAGCTAGTATACCTATAATCTTGATTAGTAATATCCTTGTCTGCCGTCGACCACCAGTCGCTGGCAAAGCTAATAATAAATAAAGTAAAACTAATACATACTATTAACATCGGGTACTTGATAATTAAGTACGCGATGCATATCAAAAGGAAATCCTCAGAGTACAGCTTCTCTTCGTTGTAGAATAGAACTGTCACAGAAGCCACGTACATCAAAAGTTGGTTCATACTGACTTTGGTGAAGAGCTGAGTGTTAAAATCTCGTTTCTTTTGTATTACTTCGTGTATTACTACACTGACCAGTTCCGTAGCATGCATCGTTAGTATGTACATGATGTAGCGAGCTGTAAATAAAATTTAAACAGTCGAATTTGATGTGTTACATTTGACATCTAACACCGTGTGCGTTCTTACTTCCTCCGTATCCAATAAAAAAAAAATAGAATAATGAATAAAAAATTTTAGAAAACCAAACTAAAAAATAGAAAAAAAGCGTGGGGTGCTTTTTACAATTGACAGGCACTAATACACAATAAAAAACACGCTTTTTATTTTCACTTTTTTTTTAATTAGTGTATTGTCATCGGTCCTCGATATATCTACAAAGTTTGAACGAATTCTGACCGCTTAAAGTCAGCCAAAATCACGCCCAAAGGATTCGGTTACAAACATACAAGTGAAGCTAATATAAAGCGTGTAAAAACAGCGTGAGGGGTCTATGGACCCCCGGTCGAAAAGAAATTCCGCAAATGTCGGAAAAAAAATGCGCAATTAGGAACTTCGTTTCAACAATGCGTTTAGGGTGCTGTTGGGGCTACCCCACTTCTGTAATGCAGGGTGCGGGCTAATGATTACAAATGGGTTAGATTTTAGGTACATTGGTCGCTGCAGCGCCATCTCTCATGGAGTTCATAATCAACAGCCTATAACAGTCCACTGCTGGACATAGGCCTCTACTTAGAAAAGAGGTTTTGGCCTACTATACCACGCTGGTCAGACGGGTTGATACAGGGTGACATTGCGTATTCTGAATCCATCACCACACGGACACTCATGGAGTTCATAAATAATATAATACATTGTAAATTATCTCTACTATTACAGGATAAGTTTTATTTATTACTAACAATCAATGAGTCATGGTTACTTCAATAAAATTATGTAAGTATTTATTATTGGAACGAAGTTCTTTATCACGCGTGACACGGTCTAAGCGGATGGGAGCGAGACCGAAAAATGTGTAATAAGTAGACTTGCAACGAATAGTATATTCGGCAGTATACCGAATACCGAATATTCGGCGAGGCCCCTGACCGAATAGCCGAATATTAGGCAAAAGTATTCGGCTGGATTTTAGCGCCAAAAACTTGTACAGACGTGAATTAAATTATGTACCAATGACTACTTAATAAATTATTATAAAAGAAATGAGAACCTTACCCTTCTAAATTTTGATTACCACAATAATTCAAATACATAGAATCCTCCATTTTTCCAATTCAGAAGATGATTATGTACCTGTGTTATGCACCAATGACTACTTAAATGATTATAACAGAAATGAAAATATGAATATATACGTAATCAATCGATTTTAATTTTTCATTTTACCAATTATTTCTCATTGACAAAATATATTATTTAAGTATTCGGTATTCGGCCGAATATAATAAAAGCAGCCGAATATGCCGAATACCGAATAGTAACCGAATATTCGTTGCAAGTCTAGTAATAAGACTTTTTTTCAACACGATAATCCGACTATTACAGATATGTGATATCGATTCAAAACCCTTATTTAATATGTCCTTTGTACAAATCCATTTAACAGCTATACGCTATCAAGTTATCAATAAAACCAAACTTACCAATACTCAGCGCCCATTTTTGCTTGTCATTCAAATGTATGCTCTGTGAACCTGCAGGAACAGAATACCATTACGAGTATATTTACAACCTATGCTGATATTAAACCCGGTTTATTTTATGTCAGTACTATAAATATAAGTATATTTCAAAAAACAAGTTACTTTTGTTTTCTGGTGTTTTTTTTTTATAGACAACTCCCGCACTAGGAATAAATCCTGCGGCCCCGCGCCAAAGACTTTACAAACATACATAAAACGGACACAAAGGACACCCAGACTCAGAACAACAATTTGTGGATCACACAAAGTGTCGTCCTATGTGGGGATCGGACCCACAACACAGCGCAGTAGTAAGCGACGTAGCGATCGCTTAAACCACTACGCCACCCATGCAGGCAGTGTTACTAAGTACTTAGTAAGAATGTTTGTAACATTGATGTCCGCCTTTACAATCTTAAATGTTTCTAATTCGACAAATCCAAAGTTGTTACCGACAGTAAAATTTTTGATGGTTTTTGATGTATTTAAGATTTAGCGGAACTATCCATAAATAACACAAATGTCTTTTGAAACATGTCTATTTAGGAAACTAGGTACCTAAACCTAAAATCCCTAGGCCCTAGAGTTTTACTGTAATCAGCACTGCCAAGAGTTTTTGAGTTTTGTTATATCTTATACCAGGGAGACAATTGACACTGCTATTACAGCCTGGATATATCCACATAGAGTAATGTAACTCCTGAGTGAGTGAACTGTAAGATGTATATCACTCACGCCGATATAAACGTACTCACTAGTCGTACAGATAGTTCAACTCAGTTGTGCGCGCGGCCCTATGTGTGCGTGGGCTTGTAAATATACAACTTTCATTCGTGTGGCAGTCGTCGTCCGACTGCCGCGTCACTGCCACACGAATGAAAGTTGTATATTTACAAGCCCACGCACACATAGGGCCGCGCGCAAAACTGAGTTGAACTATCTATACACACGTATTCACTAGTCACTCCAAATAATTTTGAATATTAAAATGACAGACAGCTCAGTAGGTCAATCCTCGTAATAAACATCCGACGTTGATTGTAATGTGATTATATCGTATTGTTCCCGAAAATTGAATCGATAACCTGCTAGTCTTAGTAATAGGTACTTTGCTATTTTACAACGAAAATGCCTTTTATGACAGTTGCGAGATCGACAGTTGATCGGAACTGAATTTTTACCGAACTTTTATTTCGAGAAACCAACCTTTTCTTTCTATTCTTCACCATAAAAATATGTTTATTCTTCATGATAATAATCTATTAAGTTTTCGAAACAGTTTTATGTTATAGGTATTGCTTTTAACCGAAAAATTTAGGTTCTTTTACGGTTAGGAAGTTAGGTACTTTGAAATTTTCCCGCCAAAACTCTCATTCTGACATACGAGTTTAATAAATAATAGACTTAATAAAGGCCTGCGCAGACGAGAGACTTATATCACAGAGGACCAACATGAATCTATACTAATACTAATAATATTATAAAACTGAAGAGTTTGTTTGTTTGTTTGTTACGGGTCCGCTTTGAAAAATTCTTTCAGTGTTAGATAGCCCATTTATTGAGGAAGGCTATAGGCTATATATCATCACGCTAAGACCAATAGGAGCGGAGCACCAATGAAGAATGTTTCGAAAACGGAGAAAATTACGCAGACGCAGACGAAGTTGCGCGGGTCAGCTAGTCGTAAATAAAATGTCCGCCGCAGAACTTGCCATGGACTCAACGTACACGGTGTGTTATCACTTTGTACGCCACACGTGTCACGACACGTCACGTCACGACAGGTCAAAGTTCGCTATGTGCGTTACTGCGCTTAGTGACAATGGCACTATTTTTATTCGGGGACTCCCCCGTGCTTCTATTCCGGTCCTACCCATGTCCTCGATTGTTCGGGGGACTTTTAATCCGTCGTGTGTGTTATTCAATAGAGTTGTAAGGGATCTATTTTGAAGGACAAAAAATTACGCCGGGAATTGTCCCTCGTTTGCGAGCGCCCTTTAAGGATTTTTTAAGGGGCAAATAATAATAATAATAATTACTTCATAGATCGCACACACGGCAGTCTGATCCCAAACTAAGCAAAGCCTGTACTGTGGTAACCAGACTGCTGATGAACATACTTATGAGAAAAGCGCTGCCTTAGTGAGTTCGATTCCCGGACCTGCCAAATTTTATGGGGTTTTTTGAGAGTATAAAAACAGCCTGTACTATTCTTTTTTTTTAAAAACAACTCCCGTACTAGGAATAAATCCTGTGTCGAGGGGGACTTTAAAACATACATGAAACGGACACAAAAGATACCAAGACTCAAAACAACAATTTGTGGAACCCACAACACTCATCGCAGTAGGAAACGGCAAGGTGACCGCTTAAACCACTACGCCATTCGTGCAGTTAAAGTTACTCCTTATATAGACAGCTACCTGGTAGTAGTGTTATCAAAATCGGTCGAGCCGTTTGGGATATTACTCGCGGAACAAACAGACAGACAGCAGACAAAAAAAAACTGGGTTTTAGGCATAGGTATCATGCAAATAACCGTGTGAGCATGAAAAAAAAACTATTTTTCTGACATTACAAACAGACACTTCAATTTTATTTGTTTATTTATTTTATAGATTTGCAATACAATAGATAGGATAGGGTCCTCTCCAATTCATTACTATTACAACGATTGTTTGCTAAGTGGCAATAAATAGCAGTTGTGTGCGTGTGTGTGCTTTCATGTTCTTCTAAGCAGTTTTCAGATTTTTTAAGAAACATATGTATGTCAAATATATTTTATAACAAGGAAAAAAACTTTCATTTGCCAGCATAAAAGCATTTAAAAGCCTTGTGACTCCACGGTGTTGGAATGATGAATTTATGTATACCACATACTCATACACTTTTAGTCATTTACTACAGACTATTCTAAGTATAATGACTATTCTAAGTATAATAATCGGCGCCAGAGGAACTCGTTGATGTGCAAATATAATCTTAATGTGTACGATGTAGGACTGTTCATTAGCATTCTAAGTAACCCTACTTCAAATGCGGCGTTAGACCTATTTGAGATATTTTCACAGCAACAACTTCCCCTGTCTCCTATCATAACATAGTTAATATCTTAGAATAAGCCACGATGGGGCTAACATATTTCTTGTAATAAAAGCCTCTAAATAAATAAAGATTAAAAAAAAAAAAAGTATAATGTATGCATATTCTCCCTTTCTCCCAGCTCTCCTTTATCAACAGCCTTTAATAGTCCACTTCTGAACACAGGCCCCTCCTGAGAAAAGAGGTTTTAGTCAACTATACCGCGCTGACCTTTCTTTTTCAGTGATGTTGTAAGTTAGCTCCCTAGTCGGCTCTTACGACACATGTGAGCGGTGACATTATCTCTTTTAATACCATTATATAAGATTATTATATTTAAATAAATTAATAAAACATACTTACCTAAAGCAATACCAGCAACTAACAGTATTTGTATGACATAGACATATCCACGTTCCATTTTCAGATTTCTGTAAAAAAACATATTTGAGTTAAAAAGAAATAATATTTATGTACACTATGTATGTTTATCACCCGTCTGGTTATCATAGAACAGGCTTGTCTAGTTTTGGATAAAATGACTGTATGTTAGATGTGTACAAACAACAAGAAAATTAATTTATTTAGAGATTATGCTTACTTTAAAAAAAAAGTTTATTAAATTATACTGTTATTGACTATAAACTTTGAACATTTAGTAATTTCTATGAGCATAGTATAGGGCAATGGTATAAATACAAAAATAATGATATTTAGAATCATAATAATTCAGGTCATGTTACACACAGCCACGGGATCCCAAACTAGGCAAAGCCTGTAATATAGCACCCAGAATGCATTTTAAACATAAAAATACTTATATTATACTAAATCCATACATATTAAAAATAAACTACATCCAGATAGAAAAATTAATCCTGCTTTGTGTAATTTGAATCAAACCCACAACCTCTGGCTCAACAATAAGAGCAAAAGGCCCATCAAAACTAGCAAAGTTAAAAAATAGTACTCCTGCACTGTAAACAATATCATCACATCAACAGCCTTTAATAGTCCACTGCTGGACATAAGCCTCTCCTTAGAAAGGAGGTTTTGGCCTACTATACCATGCTGGCCAGATGGGTTGGTATAGGGTTTGTGTCAAGTTTTCCTTCTCTTTGCAGTGCTGTTGTCCTGCGTAGTTTGATCCCTTAGTCGGCTCTTACGATACCCACGGGATGAATAGGGGTGGTGACACTTTGTGTTCTTAATCCGTCACCACACGGACGGTAAACAACAAGTAAACAATATGCTCTGACATTATAATTAACTTTCTATATTATTTGAAAATATATTATTTAAATATTGAATAAATAAATGAATACTACAGTTATAATAAACTATATGGTGAAAACATACTGAAGAGCAAAGATGTAATCACAAAAAGTTTTAAGAAACTAATTAAACCTAGCATACGAACCTTAACTATATTTCGCGTTGACCGATTAAATTATTCACTGTTCAAATTCCTTCACTTGATAATGTCCGTCTTCTGCAGTTGTTGATAATATAGTGGTGGTTTAGCCACTAAAACCAAAGAATAAATGGGAATAAATGACAAAGAAGTAAGAAAACTACAACACAACTAGGTGAGTAATAGAAAAAAATGCTGACCTATTTAAAGTTTATCAGTCATAGTACACATAGTCTATGATAATAGAAATATCTAGCAATGCACGTGTACGGAAAAGTAGGTACTACGTAATTAAATATTGTTAACAAGAACGTCACTACAGTGGTGCTTACTGTTAAACTAGGTTTCCCTTTAAAACCCTTTTCAAAATCTGCCAGAGAGAAAACAAATATCGAGTACTGTGGAGAAAAGTCATTATTAGACCAGAAAAGAAACAAATCATTGTCATTAAACAGAAAATTTTAACCACAATTTATTCATTATTTAATAACATAGCACATTTTATGGACTTCACAGTACTTCGTAATTTTTTCTCCCTAATAAGGAGCTTATTTTCCGCTGAATTATAGGGAAAAATCTACAAGTTTGCAACACTCTTGCTATTGCCTACCACTAATATAAAATATACGGTTAACTTACAACCATAGCCAAGGAAAAGTTAAAATAATGTTGCAAATTATTCGAGCTCCATGTTCTCAAAAATGTCCTTAATTATCAAGAAAACAACATTGAAATTATTTAAACATTATCTTAAACTAAAATAGTAATGTTGCTATTATATAAATCAACATTTTCAGACAGTTTTTTTTTTATATTCACCAGGCAACAAATTTTTTTTATTTCCAACAAATTATCCTACGGTGCTTTGAATTTTTCACGAGGTCTAGAGACCGAATTAGACAAGCCATAACCGCGAACGTAATTGATTATATTGAAATAATAATAAAATAAAATAAAATCAATTATTTGGAATCGCCAGGATTCGGTAATAGAGGTCAGTCAGAATCCTTAACGTATTTAAAAATGTAACTGTAGAAGAACAGGCAAGAAATTCTAAGAAGATATCCCACATGTTTTTTTAAATTATAATGTCGTTACATTAAGTAACAGTAAGTGAAAACACCATGCGACAACAACAGTGTTAGGGAATGTCCATATACTGGAAGTATAGCACTTCAATGATGCTTAAGGGAATTCGAGATTCGAGGATTTTTCTCAATACCGATATTGAGAGACTATTAAGCAGGAAGAATGTAATAAAATCAAACTCAAACTCAAACTCAAACTTTCTTTATTTCATAAAATTTCCAAAATTGTTTGAAATCGTCTTCCATGTAGACTCTAAAGTCATAGATCAACACACACAAAAGCAACAATCTCTGTTTTGTCAAATAGTAACCAAATAAATTTAACAAAAATCAAACCCATACAAAATCTATGATATGCCGATCTACAACCGCCCGTTTCCAAGGGGGTGAGCCTTATGAGAAGAAAGGGCAAACAAACTCATGGCCACTCTTTTGCAATTCACAGGTAGATACAATGGCACTATTAAATATATCACAACATTGTTTTGATGTGTGCTAGTATGTCCGTTATTAAGGACTAAAAGGTGAAAAGACAATGAAGAGAAAACAAGATTAAGAAGAAAAAACGAATACAAGAGAAAATGAAGTGAAACATAAAAAATAGAAAAAATAATAATAATAAAAAACATACTAGCCACACCACATTTTTACTTAATAAAGAAATAGCCTGCGCTAATTAATCAAGCAGATGAATAGAATTAACTTAAATATTTTATCTTGCATGTTTAGAAAATTCCGTAGTTTGAGGTTGGAAGAAAAATGCTGCAACGAATATGAAATTCCAATAAACGTTGTAAAACGAATCGGTACTAAAGATTCGTATTACTCGTAATCTAAAACGAAAGATGATAGTGCAAACAAAAACGATTCTGAGGACGAATTAATTTAAAATAAGTAACTGTTATTATTGAATAATTCGGTATGTTTCTGATATTGAGTGGTTGATTTACTATTTGTTTGTTGAATTATTGATTGTTTGTATTACATAATAATAAATGAAACTAACTATTAATAAACTTATTGTTTTCTTTCATCACAACTAAAAACATATACTATGGGACTGAGGAATAGAAATTGAGACACAGCATCCAATGTTGGGATCATAGTTATTGTCATAACATACAAAGAGTCATTTTACAAAAACGAGCTATTCGCACTACGATTCGCGTGCCCCAAAGAGAGAGTTGTTGACCATACTTCAGAAGCCTAGGAATTCTTACAGTTCCTAGCCTCTATATTCTTTATATTATTGATGAGTTGTAATGAGGGAGCGAATTCATCTCAATTACATTTTCCAAAGTACTTCCACAAAATACGTCCGTGTAGTGATAGATTAAGAATACTTAATGTCACTACCCCAATTTATTCCGTGGGTGTCGTAAGAGCCGACTAAGGGCGCAAAACAACGCAGGACACCAGCACTGCAAAAAGAAGGAAAACTTGACACAAACCCTATACCAACCCGTCTGGCCATCGAGGATATAGTAGGCTAAAACCTCCTTTCTAAGGAGAGGCCTTTCTCTAGCAGTGGACTATTAAAAGCTGTTGATGTTATGTGACGTGAAAATACTTACATGTAAGATAACCAGTGACATTATATTATTTGGACATTTTTAAATATTACTGTTATATTAAAATGACTGATTCAAAATGAAAATAATATTGCGTGAAAGATAACTAATATTATTTATACCTCAGCCTATGCTTGTCCACTGCTGGACATAGGCCTCTCCCAATGATTTCCAGCGGGACGGTTGATTGCGGCCTGCATCCAACGGTTTCCGGCAACCTTTACCAGGTCGTCCGTCCATCGGGTAAGCGGTCTTCCTACACTGCGCTTTCCAGTACGTGGTCTCCATTGGAGAACCTTGCTGCCCCATCGGAAATGGAGAACTGACGGCCGATGGGGAAAGATAACTAATGACGACAAAATAATGTTTTTATAAATACTATTACTATTATTATTTTGTTACTTACTATATTTCAAAAACAATGTAATTTTTTGATGCATAAATGACTATGACTTGGTATTCCAAAACGCTACATTGATGCTATTTCTATTAGTTGTTTATCTAAAATCACACTTAAACGGTTGTGATTATTGGTATTTTTTGGGATATAGACAATACCTATAGTAGTTAAAAAGTGTTGCTAGCTTTTTGGATCAGAAACTTGAAATAATCGATAAAATTAATTAAATAAAAAGACAATGGTAGAAATATTTATTTATCTGAAAAATCTACTTATTTTGCTTGTTGCTATATTTATTTCAGTATAAACATGTTATTTTTGTTAACCTCCAATAATGTTAAGAGTAATGAGTAATGGAATGCATTTTTTTACAGTACAGAGGGCAAACGAGCAGAGCATCTGATGGTAAGTAACTACCACCATCCACCACCATGAATACTTACAGGTCAAGAGAGACAATTTTGTTACTGCTGAGAATTGCTCAATATCGGATTTCTATGTATTTCTGAGTCACGGTCTCACCTAGTTCAGAAGGTACGGATATACTGGTAAAAATAGCCTAAAATGTATGAAATGGAGGCAAATTTTGTGACTACACTAAGGTCTAGACATGCATGTAATCTAGTGTAGTACTCCTTATGTGTCGATTGTTTAGGCTTATAACTACAATAAAAGAATTTAGAAATTTTGAATTTTGAAAGTAGACAGTTAAGCGTGGCACAAAACAGTGGACTAGTAAAGGCGGTTGATGATGTATATATCAGAACGAAATCGCTTGATAAATGATATTTATTTCTGTAAGTAAATCTTTTCAGATATTTTTACAAGTCGGACTTTATAGCTAGAAGGAGCCGGCATTTCCTAAGACTCACTCTGGGAAGAAACGCCGAAACAAACCACAGAGGTGTCTTTTTTTTAAGTCCGTAAGCAAAGTTAAATAAAACTGTGCGAGTAAAGTATAGGGTCTGGATAGGCCTTTTGAGGAAAGGACCATAGTTTTGAGGCAGCCTGTCCATACAGATGGCATACAGGCTCCAGCCTTCGTGTAGCCTAACCGATATTGGTCAAGATCAACGACCCGAAGCATGACACTACCGCCAGCAGGACATTTGGGTAGGCCGTGGAAACACTCAAAACCACCAGAAAGATAATAAAATGCTTAAATGTTTAATTCTACGCATTGAAATTCAAATGCAATCATTTTCTGTAAACTTTGTCTTATTATGTAAGGCCGTATTTGACTCATACATTCCTGTGAATCAGTACTAATTTTTTAATTAGTTTCTTTTACTTTTCTAATAGGATATAAATTTAAAATTTGCAAAGAATTCCATAAATATAAGTCTGACAAATCTAAAATCGTCAGTTGGCATGCTTAACTTAATATTTGCCATAATACTGACAAGCAACGGCGGCCTGTGATGCTAATAATAATCTGAGAAAATCAAAAATGATTACAGAAAAGACATTCTAGGGCTTTAGAAAGCAATAGTAGTTTATTTATTTAAAAATAAACTGAAATTCATAAAATTATGAAAATATCGTGTTATACTTTTTAAAAGACGCACCTAAAATCAAAACTCACAGAAATACAATTTCACTAGCTACACTGTTTTAATTTTTCGGAAATAACACTGAAATTAATAACAGAACTCACAAGTGTTATGGTTATCTTTGAAAGGAACGAACGTAGATAATGTAAATAAAATATTGATGGAAAGCTTCGAACAGCGCTTGGCTTTATTCATAAAATACTGAAAAATTATAAAACGTTCAGTCAAATGACACTTTATGACAAACGGCTATCATCTACAATCTACTTCCTAGTAGAAAGTATAATGAAGTGGTCACACAGTATAAAAGTATGAATTTTTGACAATGAAATTTGATTTGATGTATGTACCTATGCAATAAAAATATTTCAGCTTTAAGTTAAACATATAACATGTAACAAATTTACTAAAAAATCTTATTTAATATGCAATAAACACAAAGTTTTTATATTATTTTGGCAAAATTTGTTTGTTGCCTTTTTTTTATCAAAATATTAGTTATTTGTCAAACAAGGTTAGTATATTTGTAAAAAAATCTATGGTAAATTACCCACACAAACAAATAACATTAAAGTCATTAGTCACTTGAAGTAATTAGATACTGAATTGTATTGACCAAGTTTTAAAAACAAACATCTGCAGTGAATATTTAGTTAAAGCTAGGTAGCTTTCTAAGTTCTATATAGGTGTATCAAATATATCTTAATTTAATACCTTAAGTATAAAATAATACAAGTGACAAAAATGTTGTATGTTGTGCTTAGCTTGTTTATTTATTTAATAGTTTTTATTTTTTGATATAAACAATTATGTTCAAACTATTATTATTTCTTTGGTTGTTTTTGCATTTCTTTAATTATTATGTTAACGTTAAGCTGTATATAGGTCATATTATCATATGAGTCAAATAATAAGTTATTATTTAATAATCATAGATGTGTCAAGTTATTATTAATAGTTTAACTGTCACATGACTGTCTGATCCAAAGCTAGGATAAATTAGACTCAGGCCAAATTTATCTTTATTTCACATTTCATCTTAATGCATATTAAAGTAAATGGTGTATTAGAATATTTGTTTTATATAATTAATAATAATTTTCTAAAAAGTTAACATTCATGAGTACATCTATGAAAAAACATACGATTTTAAAGATTTGCCCGTCTGCTGTATTACACATATGTTAGGTCATTACGATACAGTTTGTGTATAGTCACTAAGTGATTTTCCCACCATTTTTAAATAAATTGCTTTTGTTAGTCTTGATTTCAATGTGCTGTTTAAGTCAGCTTTTATAATCACACTAGTTCTTCATGTTTTAATATCTTTTTAAAACTTCTGTTAGTATATTTACCTTAAAAAAGATGTAGGTAACTCTTTTATTAATATTATTTTTAAATCTCATTTTTACAGAAATTCAAAAATGGTACAAAGCCATATTTATATTTTACAAGTTTTATTTGCGATTGGCATCACATTAGGTGAGTTGTGTTGCTCGTAAGAGATGTAAGATTTTCTTTGTTGAAAGTTGAACTGCAAGCTTAATAATGTTTTTTATGTTCTTACAAATTCGTTTCTTCGTTTTTACAGGTTTTTTTTTAAACTTCACACACCTCACACAAGGTCGTCTGATCCCGAACTAGGCAGAGCCTGTGCTATGGTAACCAGACTGCTGATAAACATACTTATAGATTTTTAAATACATACATATTATAGATAAATTACACCCAGACACAGATCAAATTGTCGTGCTCATCACACAATTATTTGTCCTCCAGCTTAGCAGTCAGGGTCACTAACCACTAAACCAACAGGCCCGTCGTCGTTTCAATGCTTTTTTACGACTTGACCTTAAACTCCAAATCAGAAGTTCTAGGCATTTGAATTTGGGTTGCTTCCTTACTAAAAGTGATATGATACTAGGATCGACTCTCCTAGAGTTCTAAAACAAAGTGCTTGGTAATAATAATACTGACGTCTAAGAAAAGAAGTTAATATTATAACTCATCCTCCGAACCTTTTTCCCAAACTGCCTCGATGGGCCAGTGGAATCGTATGCGACTGCTGAGCTGAGGTCTCGGGTTCTGATTCTGATGTCGCACCAAATGCTTGTATGATCAGCAAATATTTATTTCGGAGTTTGGGTGTTTTCTATGTATAATATGTATGTATTTACAAAAAAAAGTAAATAAGTATTATATCAATCAATCTAGCTTTCATAGTACAAGCTCTGCTTAGTTTGAAAACTAGATGGCGTTGTGTGTTCTGACATACAACGCCATCTAGTTGTCCGAAATATTTATTTATTGAAGTGGGTTGGCGTCGGTTTTAAGTTTACTACGACACGGCTGAACTTCTCTACAATCCAAGTACTAGGCGATATCGAATTTCTGTAGAAAGACTTAAGGTACTTTCATAAGGGCTCCAACTATCCGTAACTATTGACGCAGATGTTCGTATGGCAACCGGGACGGCTTAACGTATTCTCCGAAGTACGGAGGGGTCTTAATGTATTTCACCCAACAATAGACTGGCAGGCTAGAATTGCTTAACGTTGGAATGTTTAACATGAGCCCCTCCTTGCCAACAAATCTGCGGCGTCGTTCCCGTGTGTTACTGTGCCATTTAATCCATTAAAGGAGTACCAATTTAATGTGGCAAGCGGCTCCAATGCTTGATGGCATTCGAAGACAATACCAGAAGTCATAAAACAGTTAATTCAACAGTCATTAATTAAAAAGTAACGATACTATTGTTTATACGTTTTAGGTTCCCAGTGCCTAGATTTTGAAAGCAAGCATACATGGGTAGCCAGTATCGGTGAGTTTTTTTAATGTTTGTATCGTATATATTCTATCAACGTATGCATAGTTATAATTTTATCGAAATAATTAAATTCTATTGCCTACCCGCTTGCTTTTGACGATCCGTTCTACAATACATTCAAAGATATAAGGCCATTTATTATCTCTTGAGTTTTTCGTCTAACTTAAGAAAAAGGGATGTTCATTATAAATAATGTTCAAGAATATAAAATCTGATTAGTGACTCTTTGAGTTGCGGGTGTATTCATGGGTGGCGAAAACAAAGAGCTTATAAATGATAGAGGAAGCGAACAAAGCGCTATCGCATATGGTTGGTAGAGAGTGAAAGAGGATGGTTTTGGTCTTGCATCTCTCTTTGCCCTTATCCCTGATTGGCTAAAGCAACCACTGACAGAGGAATATACAGTTTCCTTCCTCTATTGAAATTATCACTATGGGCGAGAACCACTTATCATCAGGTGACAAGTATTCTCGTTTGCCCCCTCATTAAAAAAAAATTGAGGTCTTTTAGTATTATGCAATGTTAAGTATGTAATAAAAAAATTACTGGAATGTCTAGTGATCGTTTTGTTTATTTGGTTCTGGGGAGTGTTGCCACCTCCTGATTTTATTTTCTTCTAAAATTGCAATTGGGAGTTAAAGAAAAACCTTTAATGTAACTAAGAACTTAATAACTATAATATTTATATACTATGGTGTTATTGAAATTTTTTGTTCTTAATTATTCTTTTTAGCTCGCTACGTAGTTTACATACTGACAGTCCAAGGCTCAAAGGCGACCAGTGTACTTGTGTATGAAATACTCCATGGTAAAAGAGATTGGAACACCCATCTCTTCAGCAAAGTGAACCGGAATCGATTTATTATTTATTTCGTTGCCGCCGCCATAGTATACCTTAACAATAATAAGTTGTATGCAGAAGATTTGCCTTTGGTACTGATCGCATATTTAATCGTCAAGTACCCTGAAATGGTGGGTATTATTTATTTAAAAAAAATTACTTGTGCTTTTTATTAAACCTGAGTAAAAAAAAACTGGATTATATAGAATTTATGATCAAGGTAAGGGCAAAATATATTTATAAGAAACAAAGCATTAAAATCTAATATAAAAAATTCACGTGTCGCGGTGTTTGTTACCAAGCTCCTCCGAAAAGGACCGATTTTTATGAAATATTGTGCGCATATCGAGTAGGTCTGAGAATCGGCCATCACATCTATTTCAACACAACACAACATCTATTTTGCATACCCCAAATAAAAAATAAAAATAAAATAATGTATATGGCAAAACAACGTTTGCCGGGTCAGCTAGTAAGTTAAATAAAGTGAATGAGGCTTACAGTAGTCGCATGTGATGCGTAACATTTGACATCTCACCATCTGAAAGCCAAGTGCGAGTTTATTTCACTTCTACTCGATCGTCACGGTGACCGCTTTCGGCGCTACGATTGGCCCGCACTCAAATCTCCACCAATCGCAACGCTATACGCGCTCGCCGACGAAAGCGAGTCGATGTGAAATAAACTTGCACTTGGCTCTCTGAGAGCCTATTGTCACACCTTCTCAATCGTCACAGTCACCTTGCTGGGCGTTGCGATTGGCCCACACTGAATCTTCACCAATCGCAACACCAAACACGCATCATTTGTGATCTCTTTATGGTTTAAAAAAAATGTTTTAGTAAAATAAAAATACGCTTTAATAGTAAACTAAAAATAAAGAAGACGTGGGTTGTTTTTTACTATATTAAAAAAAAAATACTTGAATAAAACAAATCAACTACTTGTAACGTTTGATATTAAACTCTCCTCTATTAAATTCTTTGTTTTTTTTTGTTAACGTAATAATAAAGAAAGCAAAAGAATGCTTTTTTTTGTTAATAAATTAATTGTTTTTATTAAATAGCGGGCAAATGAGCAGACAATTCTTATTTTAAACTTGTTTTTTTTTTTAAATTAAATGATCCATTGGACTTTTTATCACTAGTCTTGTGTGCTTGTACAGTGTTTGTTTTAAAGTATAATTTTTAAATGTCTTGATTCCGTGATATAGATAGATAGATAGATACAGGTTAAACATTAAAAAAGTAATATAGTACAAGGGATACATATCTTTTAAAAAAATAATTAATTACTAACGTCGTTAATTAAAATAAACTTTCAACAATTCTGGTATGGAGATGATGGGGATGAAGGGGTAAAATAGGACTGGAAAACGGAAACTGAACCAACATGAACCACATGAGAACTTTCTATTTTTTTGAAGTCCTTTAAAAAGAAGTTATAAAAATGGTGGCGGTTTTATTACAAAGTTGAATCTGAAAAGCGTGTGTACCTTGTTCTTGTATTCAATTACAGGACACGGACCAAGAATGGCTATTAATATCCGTAAAAATAGAGTCCAAAGTATATGATCATATATTAAGTGATTCTGATCAAATGGCCGGCAAGTCTGAAATAGTTCCTGTAATAGATATTTTCGCAAAGACAACGGTGTTTAAAGCACTAGAAGGTGATCAAAAAATGCTTGCAAGTCAAGTAGACACCCGTCAGGTTAAAGAACATGTTTTGTGGGATAGAAAGAACGAAGCCCGCTCTCAAAGAGAGAAGTCGGCCTGCAGACGAAGCAACCAACAAGTTTGCAGAGCAGAAGGGCTAGCCCCCTGCCAGAAACATCAGGTCTGTGGTCTAAAGGGGCCTGTGGGTAAAGTGGGCTTTTTAATTTCTGTTTATAGTAAGATCAGAACTGCCGGGAGTTTTGCGTTGGATCAATTTTATTCTAAGTTTGCGAAACATCAAAAATTAATTGTTATTGTTTTTCTTTACTGTTGAAATTTCGACACAACACGACTCATTCTAGGTGAGCATCTATGATACCAGCATTTTTTTTTACAAAAGTTAACAGTTTCCAAAAGTACTGCCAGTATTAAAGAGTAGGAGTGTTTCCAGTGCTAATAAATCTATAATGTAAAGCTACAGACTTCTTTGCTGTACCCTGTCTCTTAGCGTGCTTATTATATTGGTAAATTATTTTCCAGGGTACATCAGCTGTAAGTCTTGGCGCTGGTCTGGCCTGCAGTTACATAGAAGGATATCTAGTCTATGTAATCCCGACAGATGGACGTGATATAAAGGGTTTGCAAGATAATATCCGGACATTCGAAGACACACATAATGTGGTTTTTCCTGTGAAAAGATTGTTCGTCATCGTCACCAAGTCCATGCACTGTCCGACAGACTTAAAGGAATTCAATGACAAGAGTGACAGAGAAGATGTCAACAGACTGGAGGCTTGTCTGGTATGTGCTTTATTTAGGCTCTGCTGATTTCAATAAAGTCCGTGTGGTGACGGATTAAGAATACGGAGTGTCACCACCCCTATTCAACCCGTGGGTGTTGTAAAAGACGACTAAGGGAGTAAACTACGCAGGGTAACAGCACTGCAAAGAGAAGGAAAACTTGACACAAACCCTATACCAACCCGTCTGGCCAGCGTGGTATAGTAGGCCAAAACCTCCTTTATAAGGAGAGGCCTATGTCCAGCAGTGGACTGTTAAAGGCTGATGATGATTTCAATAATTGCTGTCGATGTCAGAGAAATTTTTCAATAAATTTCGGTTAGAACGAGCATTTCGTAATCTTGAGGTGGCAATGTTTCAGTTTATTGCGTAAATCTTAACTAACTAAATTGTATCAATCACTTTAATGCTGTATTCTTTATTCCTTATTTGCCACCGTTTGGGATTGTATTTTTTTCTAAAATTTGAATGAGAATAACCATGAAATATTTTTAATGGTTATTCCCAATTTAAAAAAAGAAAGTGGTATTCCACAATTATTATTTTTTATGTCAGAGGGGGAAGAAGAGCAGACGGGTCACCTGATGGAAAGTGAACATCTCCACCCATGAACGTCTGCAACTCAGGAGTCAAAAATACAAGTTTTTTTTTATCCGTTCATAACTGATGGAATTCTAAGGTTAAAAACATAAAAATAATACAACTGAATTGAGAATCACATTTCCAAATATAGGTTAATTATTAGAAAGGCTCAAGTTAGTTTTTTTGGAATGCTATCACTCCTTAACAATTCAACCGATCATCATAAAATTTTGAATATACATTGTCAGGGGTACAAAGAATAAAATAACCTATCTTTTATCCACACAAAAGGTGCTAGATACCCTTTTTTTCCGTGCGGAAATCCCCTCGGATACCGAACATGTCGGACTCGAACCGACTAAAGTGATATAGGTTAATAATATTTCGGGAATACAATAGTTAGGTTCTATATTAACCAGTTCATTACAATTTTTGGCATCGTTGCTGTTTATTATGTTTGTTGACTACCCTGCTGGTCTAATGTTTAGTGATCGTGGGACAGGTGTCCTTAGTTCAATTCCCATTCAGGACAACGAAGACTATAACCCGGCAATCTCGTGCGCGACCGTCCCGCGGGGTGACAGACAGTGGCGGGGGCGAGGTAGCGCGTCATTCTAGCACACGGCTACACACGAAGAGAAGCGTTTCCCTTCCCCGCTACACCACCCGCTACCCGCTGACATCTTGAGTACCTCGTCCCCGCCACCGTCTGTCACCCCGCAGGACGGTCGCGCACGACGTTGATGGACTATAAGTAATGTTTCAAGTTATTATTGTTATATATTCCAGTCCTTTGAGAAGGTAGTGAGAGATGTCGCCGGGGTAAAAAACCGGCATTACAAGAACTCCGCGTATAAGATCATCAGACCGAACAATAAACCAGTTTACATAGCCGCGGAGTGCGCCACCTCCCTGCACACACTGTACAAGGTGATGAAAAACAGACATTTGTGTGATGGTAAGTGTGCTATACCGACTGTTATGTATCTTTTAACGAATCTGTAAACCACATGACGACCGGATGGCGTAGCGGTTTGTGTAACGGACTGCTATTCCAAAGGTCGCGGGTTCGATTCCCGCTCAAGTCAAACATTTGTGTGCATGAACATTTGATGTTTGATTTGGTCTGGGTGTTTCTATGTATAATATGTATGTATTTACAAAAAAAAAAAAAAAAAAAAAGTATATATGTATTTATATCAGTTGTCTAGTACCCATAGTACAAGCTCTGCTTAGTTTGGGACTAGATGGCGTTGTGTGTATGTGGTAGAATATTATTACATATTTTGCACTATATTTCTAGAAGATTTGCAAAATATGAACAAAAAATATTCAGTGGTTTAGAAACGGGTCATTTTTTTGTTTTCGTAATTTGCAGAAACATGTGTACATGGGCGCAAAACAACGCAGGACACCAGCACTGCAAAAAGACGGAAAACTTGACACTAACCCTATACCAACCCGCCTGGCCAGCGTGGTATAGTAGGCCAAAACCTCCTTTCCAAGGAGAGGCCTATGTCCAGCAGTGGACTATTAAAGGCTGTTGATGTGATGTGTACATGCAGTCATAATACATTGACCTCAGGCGGCGATCAGCTGTATACGCGGCGCGTTGCCATTTTTAACTACACTCGAATCGAACGAAATATGTTGATTATTGCGTCATCACGATGAAGGACACGCATTTTTAATTAGTTCATCCAGTAAGGGCAGTCAGTCGGCCCTGGGCCACCGGCGAGTGTTATGCTATTCTGTGTCCTTGTAGATGCGCTCACGACAAATTACCGTAATAATAATATTGTTATTGTTCGTGAGATATTTGTTTAGAAAAAGATTGTTGTGTTAATAATTATTTAGTCTTATTGCTTTCGTCATAATACACGGCAATGGTGAAAACAATGTTATCGTGTGCTTGCGCACACTTCGTGTTGTAACGAGTCCCGCTAATATTATTTTGAAAAGTGTTAATATTAGGTTCTGTGTGTAGTGTAGTGTGAAACTAAGTGAATTATCAGTCTTTTAATTTTATTGGGTTATCGGTATCAACATCCATAATGCCGTGAGTGACCTTTACAGCCGGGGAATATCCTGCCATGAAGTTAATTTATGGGAAACTCTATCAAAACGCATCTTTAGCTTTACGGATAGGTATGGAGTCAATCGTGTGTGTCCTACGGACTACCGAATTTTTGTAAGGGCGGTATACAAAGATTACGAGACAACCAAAGTATATTATAGTATATTCTTATATCTAGTGATATAAGTTAATTTTTTATTGTGACGAGAAATAAACATAAAATAAATATTTAATTGTAATTACAGTTAAAAAGTATGAACTTACCTTACTATGTAATTTTTCCTTTAACTTTTTCTCATAGATGGGACGAGGAGTCCAAATATAAAAGAAAATAAGTTACGTAATTAATATATGCTCCTTAGGGCATTTAAAATATTTATTTGGTCCGGAATATTTAAAGTTAAACACTAGAATTTACTAGTAAATACTGAAACCAACTAAACTCAACTGATATTAAGATGGAGGACAATAGGTACATTTATAGTTTTTTATGGTATAGCAATAAATTACAATTAGTTATGACTAATGATTATTGTTAGATTACGAGTGGACTTGTCGTCCAAGGTAATTTTGTTGGAAGCAATCGGTTGATTTGTCTTCTTTGCCAGCTGTGCGTCTTTGTCTTCTTTGAGACACCGTCTGATCCCAAAATAGGGACACACTGATCGCAAACAACTAATGTTTTGTATATTTTGTTGTTTTTTCTTTTTCAGAAATGGTCGGCGTGAATGTCGGAGACATTGTATCGGACTTTGTGTGTACGTTGCGCTCAGCGCTGGACAGTATTCCGGAACTTAAGAACAAGTGTGAAGTGGTCTACTTTGATGGTAATTATTGACTTATTTCTAACTCCTCAGCATATCGGCGTCCACTGCTGAACGAAGGCCGTTTTTTTTTTATAATGTGTGCAAACTCCCTCGGATCGTCACCCCACCGGACGCAGGGCGGTGTGACGGAATCGAACCGACTAAAACCATACCAACCATTCTGGATGCGAGAAGCCCAAAATCGATCTAAGTGGCGTGCAATGGGAGAGGCTTATGTCCAGCAGTGGACTGCGATAGGCTGATGATGATGATGATGAAAACCATACGCTGTGCCTCTAACGTAGTCTGCGCCTGAAAAGGAGAGTCCCGAGAGCAACTGTTACGACCTCCGGACCCCTCTTGATAGAGAGCGGAGAGCCAACCCTCCCGGACTTGGGCAATCCGCATCCATCTAACTAACTTACTATACATAAAAGGTAGATGGCTTTACTCGCGTGTGTATTGGTGGATTGAAGGTAGGGGGGGGGGGGGGGGGGGGGTGTAACTATTTTAAAGTAAGTGTCCTTAAAAGCAACCTTCCTTGTCGGTGTCAGACGTTGCACTGTCGATGCTAGTTTTTATACCCATGTAACTATCTAAAGAAATCTTAGACATGACATGACAGCCATTTGCACTTTACGAGATGATCTGATGATGTTACAAGCAAGTACAGGAGGGAGGCTTGTATTTTCATCGAGTTTCCTCGAAAAATGTATCGAAAGTATGTATTAGCACATAACATAGCAACACGATTTCGAACTTGTTGACTAGCCTAAATACTATTAAACAAAAACATACTTCAATGCCATCTAACGAAGATGCACTGAACTAGAGAGTAACTACTAATCCTGTATCGCGCAATAAAAGTTCTCGCGTCGATTAGTATCTTTTTCTGTTTTTTTTTTATGTTAGAGGGGGCAGACGAGCAGACGGGTCACCTGATGGAATGGGTCGCTATCGCCGCCCATGAACGTCTGCAACTCAGGAGTCACAAACGCGTTGCCGGCCTTTTAGAATGCTTCCTAAAAAAGTGACACTTTTTTTGTAACACTTTGTTCTTAAGTAAATATTTTTTACAGATACCGACGAGACCTTAAATCTGTCCGATGTCTTACTTGACAGAGTCAAAACTTTGGAACCGAACTTCGAAGAGTATATCAGACGTAGAAGATAATAATTTATAACTTATGAACAAAACACACTGACTCTTACAACTTTATAATTAAAGTTTAATTTACTGCATTTATTGACTAGTCGAAGTAACTTTTCATATTTTTAGTATGTCTCGAATACTCTAAAACTCCGTACTCTAAAGTTTGGAGTTTGTCGAAACATCTTCTGCTAAGCAAAAGGATATTACAACTGTATGAAATACAACTGTAATTCAGGTAATTGTTTATGTAGGCAATAATAACTGAACAAAGATATAAAATAATGGGTTGACAAGTATAGGAGAATAGGGTATTAAATTTAAAACAGTACAGTGTAGTACATCACAGTATACCTTTTTAGTGGTTATAGCCAAGTGCCTTATTTAAAAATAAAAACTAAATGTCGAAATTCGACCATAAAATTATTGAGTTTGGACATTTTACAGGCGAGTCTTTTGTAATGTAACTCCTCACCTTACAGTTAACTTACAGTGAAATATATTTAGGAAAAAATATTTTATTAATAGCATAGTAGATTTATAATATACAAACTTATATTAGAGATAACTTATATTGATGATAAAATATCAAACACTACGTATGTTTGTACAATGACATTATTGTACTTTTTGTCTAGATTTTAAATCAAATCAAATAATTTATTTTACAAACATGGGTATATTTTATTAAGGAAATGATTTTTTCTTAACATGACGTATATCTATTCCAAAGAAATGTTTCCCAAACCCATTTCTTTATAATAGATATATATTATTTATAATAAAACGTATAATTGTTATGTAGTTTATGATGAAATTTTAAAGGGATTAAAGATTTGTCTACAATTAAGTAACGAGAAAGTATTCTGTGCGTATTCTTTACTTTCACATAAATAATTTCACTCGTATCTGTCTTTCCTACTCTTATATCTCTTTCTCCATTTTTTTCTTTTTTCTATATTTCTTAGCACGTCAGTTTGTTTTATTTTGAACAAATAATTTATTTTAAACAACATCAAACATTTCTCTAATCGTAACTTATTAATTACCCTGCTATTATTTGTTGCTTTGTTTATTTATTTATAATTTGCGATGTTATTTTATTTACTGACAACTCTTGGTCGAAAACTAACCTACGTGATAAAATATATTAATGGTTTCTTTAATATTCGTGACATTAGATTAACAATGTTTAAATAATTTTAATAGTGATATTAATAGTCATTTCAGAATTTTCATCGACATACGTGGTTTTTTTTTCGGGCATGGCATAGAGTTTTATGACGAGAATTGACAGTTCTATGTTTCAAAAACAATATTGTTATTCTTATTTTTTATAGATATTTATACTTTGTTATATGAATTGCCATAATATTATAAACTATATTTTATGTATACTTATTGCTTTATACGCTTATTATGTTGCTACGCTTAGCGTCCGTTTTATTTACTGTATGCAATACAGTTTATTTAGATTTTAAGTTGTTAAGAATGCCAAAGGTTTGGCCATATTTTTAGATGTAAGCAATTTTTGACGTCATCTGCAAGATGGTGAACGGTTAATCCGTAATGAGAATTATTGACTCTAGAATAATATTCTAAGAGACTCGGATAGTAATCTTTTATTGGTATTGTTTTGAGTAGAGTTTATATTTTTGCCAGGTAGTACTATGAGCTTATTATATTTGTTTGTGTGTATTCGTGGGGGGAGGGGGAGAGACTTTTTTTCAAGTAAGTGTCCTTAAAGGCAACCTTCCTTGTCGGTGTCAGACGTTGCACTGTCGATGCTAGCTTTTATACCCATGTAACTGTTTAAATAACTCTAAGAAATCAATTTTAACTTCTAATCATCACACCTAAATTAAAGTTGTTCTGTAAATGTGGTTTGAATGACATGACTACAGCTTTTCAAACAGCTTTTCCTAGATCCTTTCGTAAGTGACAAAGATAGCATACGTTTGAGTGAGTTTGACATTAGGACTTCTCAAAGACAACAGCAATTTTTTATAATACTCTATAGTTAGAAACATAGTAAACCATTTAAATGTTTGGTATAAATCAACTCCCATAACAGGACCACTGGCGAGAACGAACCCTAACAAAACTGTGAGTTGATTTATTTTAAATATTTAAATAACACAAAGAATATATCACAATTTGTTAAGACTTCAGTAAGTTAAGTAGTAACATTTATGTTTTCCTCTTAGTAGCTAACGGGTAAATGTTTTCTTGAATCTAGTAAATCTTTGCCCCTTCGTATTTTAACTAACTCTTTTTTTTTAAATGTATTTATCTTTTTTAAAGTTAGTTACCACAACGACGGGATGGATTCAAAGACAACAGCATTTTGTTTATAATACTCTATAGTTGACTTTATTCGATCGAATACTCTTAGTTTCAGACCTAGTATTAAATATTTAATTAACCGCGTAAACAAATATTGGAAATCAATTTTGACCTTTCATTCTTTTTAGTTTCCTGGCTGGACATATGCCTCTCCGCAAAGACAGGCCTATGTCCAGCAGTGGACTATAACGGCTGTTGATGTGATACCAAAGCTGTTGATGGGTTTGTGTCAAGTTTTCCTTCTCTTTGCAGTGCTGTTGTCCTGCTTAGTTTGCTTCCTTGTTTTTATTTTGACTAGACTATTATTATCATGACAAAAGGCTGATCATTATCATCAACTTCTTTTCCCTTTGATTTTCTCAACTATTTTATATTTGACTATACAATGTAGAGTATTCTTAGTAGAATGTAAATTTAATTAGTCTTCTTTTGTTTCTTCTCTTTTTATTAAGAAGAAAACAATAGAAGCTTTGTATTACCTCTTATTAGATGTGTAAATTAGGAATTAAACTGGGTAATTTATATAATTTCAATGCACTCAACATTTTGATCGAATTGCGTTGGTTATTACCGATATTGTACCGTATATTACTGCGATTAAGTCGCAGTAATTACGATTCGATCGCAGCTGGCGGGATTAACTCCTGGTTTAAACATCTGATGTTATGCATAATGGTAATGTAAGTTGCTTAATATAAGTAGTTTGTACAGAGTACAGTTAACATTTAAAACCTTATGTTTACAAAATGGTAATGAAAATAATACGTTTTCAAATAAAACAATCAAGTAAAGTAATACATACAAACTCCAGAATAAGCACATAGCCTTTTTAGATAATAACAATATAATGATGTGCTTATTTATTATTTGTTTCTGCCATATATAGACAATGTAGAAGTTGTTATACTATCTTCTTGTTACTATATATATATTTTTTTTAATATTACGAGACTTTAAAAACCTGAATCGTGCCATGTAGTTAATAAACACATCAACAGTCTTTAATAGTCCTTTGCTGGACATAAGCCTCTCCTTAGAAAGGAGGTTTTGGCCAAATATACGCTATCCAGACGGGTTGGTATAGAGTTTGTGTCAAGTTTTCCTTCTCTCTGCAGTGCTGTTGTCCTGCGTAGTTTGCTCCCTTAGTCGGCTCTTACGACACCCACGGACAATAAACACAGCAATTCTTAAAACAATAGCTAGGATACATATCAATTAATTTTAAGTAATGTCATTTTACTACATTCTAAATCTAGTTACGTAATCACCAAACAAGGTTATATATTATTTTTCAAGACATGTTGAGGATTTAAATAGTTGCATTTATTTTAAGAGATTATTTTAGACTTTTTGTCTTTCTATTTAATTTCTAACAATGAGCCCTAATTAATTTGATACATTGACGTAGTATTTACTAATTGCTGATTTGTATAAAAAATGCTATGAAAAAATATAAAGATATCTTACTTACTTTTTTAATATCTAAACCTATAAAAAAACTCCATTCATAGGTGAGAATAATATTGAACTCAAAACAAAACAAAAATACTGAATAAACAAACTACGCAGAACCTGTGCCATGTGTTTGAGTCTGCTGATAAACATACTTTTATATTTCTAAATACGTACGCGTTATATTAAATTATTAACCAGATACAGAACGAATGATTTAGTGCTCATCTGAAATTTATTTGTTCTGTTTAGGAATCGATCCACGATCTCATTCGTCAAGATCCCACCCACTAGACTAACAGGCCTGCCGTATGTTTATTATTTAATAAATTGTCTATTAAATACATTGTTTGAACAGTTCAATATTGTTATCGCTTGTGAATGCAGCATCGTTTGTTCAATACAGCCAGTACTATATTATTATAAATTAATAAAATAATTAATTAATAATATTAAATACATTATAAATAATTAATTAATTAATTTTATTAAGTCACAGCATATTTTGATAGTTTAATTAGCAATTTATCTAAAATAAAAATTAACATTTTAACCTGTAAACCAAAAATTAAATGTTTTTGAATGTCAGACATAAAAACATTTTAAAAAAAGTGAAGTAATGTGTACACAGTCTTTATAAACTTAAGTTCACATCAAACGTGGCAAGTGTGACTCGTTCATGAGACTTTAAGTTGTAATGTGTTGAAAATAATTTATCAAAAGTAACATAGCTTAAACTTGACTTATAGGGAGAAGTTTTACTGGGCCTATTGTCGATTTGTTGAGAGAAATGATTGTATTTTGTCTATTACTGTATTTCCTACTTAATATTAGTTTATTTTTATTTTGTGATCTTACATTATTATATTTTAAATACAAATAAACCATTTAAATGTTTGGTATAAATCAACTCCCACAACTGGAGCTAAACCACTGGCGAGTACGAACCCTAACAAAACTGTGAGTTGATTTATTTTAAATATTTAAATAACACAAAGAATATATCACTATATTTGTTAAGACTTCAGTAAGTAAAGTAGTAACATTTATGTTTTCCTCTTAGTAGCTAACGGGTAAATGTTTTCTTGAATGTAGTAAATCTTTTATCTAGTTTCCTTTGCCCCTTCGTGTTTTAACTAACTTTAAAAAAGGAGCACTCTTTTTGTAAAATTTATTTATCTTTTTAAAGTTAGTTACCACAACGACGGGACGGTCTCGTAAAAATT